AGATGTGTGACCTTAAACCCCCAGATTCCCCCACCCACCTCTGCTTGGTGGGGATTCCGGGGATTTGAGGTCCACACATCTTAAAGTTACTAAGGTTGAGAAACACTGCTTCAAAGAAATGTTCCCCCCTCCTATTTTGCAGTCTCCAGACACCTCCAGATCACAGAGGAAAACTTTGGCAGAGAAATGGTTGTAATCAGTTGAAATCTATTTTTTTTCTTTTTTACTAGGAATAGTAAAAAATAAATCTACATTTCCACCCTTCTTCCCCCCACCACCAAAAAGTAAGATACAGCTGCAAGTATTTGGCCTTACCCACCTAGTAACTTCACCATGCCACTAGATTCATCCCTGTAGCCCCCAAAGACTGAAAAAAGTTAACGAACTCTAGTCCCTGATTATAAAATAAATTAGCTCTGATGAAAAAACTATACGCTTCCTATTGTGGAATAAATCTGACTAAAATAAGGTTTATGTACAACGTAGCAACTTTGCAGCTCTGATTCCAGTGGTAGGCTGAGCCAAATGTGTGTGAAGTGTCTGACTGCTTCTTCTAGGGATGCGCAAAGTTCCTCGATCGACAAATTTTGCACATCCCAGACCCTTCTAAATAGCTGCTGCCCGCTCCAGACTCGAGGGATCAGTCAAGCTAAGTCTTTAATGCTGCTGTTCTGTTGCAGTGCATTTTGTAAAGCACATGTTTCTGGCATTTTTTTGTGTTGTGTTGTTTTCTTACTGGCAGATGTTTGTTCTTTCTAGGCTGTTTCCTTTGCGTGAACAAGGGATGAATTTTCATGCAAAACGGCTCACGCGCCAAGAAATTGAGGTAGGAAAATCTTTCCTCTTTTTTATAATACCCCATCTCTTTTCTTCCGTGAAAGTGGAGTTTCGATACTTCATCTGATTGGGAACAAATCCTCTTTGGGGGATGAAGTACTTAATTTTCACAGTTTTTAGCCCAGCGGTGAGCACCACATTTTGGAATTCATTGATATATTTCACCAGTTTGTAAGAGGTATGAGAATGAGTGACTAGGGGGTTGTAATAGGATTGAGGCAGAGAATTTAGGAAGAACTTTTTTTCTGCCAAATGTTTCCTTCCTTCTCGCCATTTTCTTGACCCACCCTTTCCCAGGAAGGAACAATGAAGCTCACTCCAATTAATGTTCTGTGTTGCAGTACTTTATAATAAGGCTTTAATGCAAACATTCATTGGCGATTACTCCATTAAAAATTACATCCACTAAATTAAGCAGTAGAAATAATGCCAAACAGCCAAACTGAGGTGAAATAGTAAGATAGAACTGTGGTGAATAGTTTGACATGGTTCCTTCTTATATGCCTAAATACATTGGGGGTTGGGGTTGCCTCTTCTTTGACATCTCAGGCCTTCAAGAAATCTGAGGAAGTTATGAAGAGGTTCGTCCGGGCTTATAAACTCATGCTGAGTTTTTATGGAGTCAACCTAATCAATAAGGAAACAGGAGAACTGAGAAGAGCTGAAAACTGGAGTGACCGATTCATGAACCTCAACCAGTGAGTTTCTTCACAAATTAACTCTTGGGCCACCTTCACCTGCGTGTTTGTTCAGTGAGCTTCATGCTCATACCTGGCACCCTTGTTAGAGGCCAGGGTTGCTATATATGAATCGAACCCGATAACAACTAGGAGGGAGTGTTGTCAGAATAGAAAAAGTATTTGTGCTTTTGGACTTTGGTATTAGAGAAGATGCTTGAGAATAGCATGGATAGCCAGGAAAACAGACAAATGGACCGTAGAACAAATCAGTTCAGGGTTCTCATCAACGTACAAATGGCTAGGCTCACAGACATGTTTTAGACATGTTATGTGAAGATCCTGCTCCCTTGAGAAGTCCATAATGCTGGAAAAAAGTGGAAGGAAGAAGAAGAGAACAATCAGCAGCAAGGTGGGTGGATTTGATTGTAATAGCAGTGAATGCACATTGAGAGACCTAAAAGCTCAGGTTGAGGACAGATCATCTTGGAAAGCATTTATCTATGTGGTTGCTAAGAGTCGGCACCGCCTTGATGGTGCTTAATCAATAATGGAGCATTGGGGCAAGCAGACGCTTATACAGGGTTTAATAGAAGAGGCAAAGACAGAATAGTCAGGCTACATAATGGTAAATAGAAAAGAGAATCCAGGTTTAGTAAGTTGTAGGATATACCCACTAGCATCTGAAGGCCATTGCTACAGCTAAAAATTTTGCAACCTCCCTAGATAATTAAACTGATCTACAATCACTGATTGGTAGGAGAGCATACTGACAAGTGGGTCAATAAACTTGAGACACCAAGTATGATATAGAGGTGCCCAAGACTCACTTCTCATGTCTGAGCCCATGCAGAGAAGATCCCAGTAGTGAATATTATTCCTTACATTCTTCTTGGTGTCATTCAGGACAGGGTGCCAGTTCACGTCAGTGTGTTTGTCTATATCAGTGTTTCTCAACCTTGGCAGTTTGAAGATGTGCAGACTTCAACTTCCAGAATTCCCCAGCCAGCATGCTGGTTGGGAAGTTCTGGGAGTTGAAGTCCACAAATTTTCAAGTTGCCACGGGTGAGAAACACTGGTCTATATAATCGTGATGGTTATTATAACAATAACTAGGAATAATCAGAAAGCACTCACAGGTTCACAATAATAGATGTGAAATTTTCAGTCCATCTTTTTGGACATCTAAGTCCCAGACACTCCATTTGAGCTCTGCATGGCATGTTTGCATCACTTGGTAGCTTGGAAGGTTAATTGTTAGGTGCTATTATGGTCAAATCATTAATTTACAATTTGTGAGCTGGTTCTGACTTCTGACCACCTTTACATCAGTCCAACATGGGGGGCTTTGTGCAATTCTTGCTTTAAAAGTGTCAGCCTTGTGAGATAGTTCAGACAGGAAGCATGCTCAGATGAACTAATTCTACTTTATTGTAAGGTTACATTAACAGAATCTTGCAAGTCTGAAAGTACATTTCTCCCCTATTGCCTTTACAGCCCAAGAAACTAGGAAGGTCCCCTTCTGAGATGTTTGCCATGCCCCATTCCTTTTGTGGGCTAGGCTGCCTCTTATCTGGCCAGTCACCTGGCTATGGCTCTTCCCCCTGTCTCCCAAGGTTATTCCCACATACCATTACAAAGAGAGGCAGTGTTGTCAAGTAATAATAGCAAGCTGAAAATCTGGGATTATTTTCAGACTGCCTTTCTAGCAAATTCAAGGAAGAACTTGGGCAGCTTCCAGGTTGGGTGGGGAGATGGAGTTGAATGAGAACACTAAATCAAAACTATAAAATGTTTAACAAACTCAAATGTTGGTCACACTTTATGGAGTAATTAGGCATAGGGATCTATGTGTAAGCTTCTTGTTTGCAATATGGCATTGTAACCAGTGTTCTGTGAAAATGAACGGTAGACATTGATTACCTATGCTTTTGCACAGAGCATATTCTCATTTAATATATGCATAAACTCCTTTGGATGTGATGAACAATCCTTTGCTTGGGGGGTGGGAACTCCTCTTCGTGGAATCTTCAAACTGTAGCTCTGTGGTGTGAAAATGTCTTGCTCAAAGCACCCCATGTTGAGTTTGGAACTTCTGGTCTGGTCAGAATAGCATCAGAGCACACTTCTGTAAGATTGAAATAGTTGTTTTAAGCTCAAAATGGGTTATAATTTTGGAACTTTTGAACTCAAAACATTTCAAACTGGAAACATTTTGCCCACCCTACAACCTTTTAATGCAGATTTTAAATTCCATTTTCCGTATCTCAACTGTGCTTAGTTGTCCTCTTTTTTCCCCACATCTTGTCACCCCCATTTTTTTTTCAGGTACAGCCATAACAATTTACGGATCACTCGCATCCTGAAATGCTTGGGAGAAATGGGATATGAACACTATCAAGTACAGCTGGTGAAGTTCTTCCTGATAGAGACTCTGGTCCACCAGGAGCTGCCTCGGGTAATGAGAAGTGCCTTAGATTACTTCATGTTCACTATCCGAAACAAACCAAAACGACGGGAGTTAGTCTATTTTGCCTGGCAACACTTCAAACCAAAGTGTGAATTTGTTTGGGGCCCTCACAAGAAACTCCGGAGGTTTAAGCCTCAGTCCGTCAAGTTTCTGAGTAACCCAGAAGAGCAAGCACACATTAAGAAAGAAGATGAAGAGGTTGTGGAGAAGGACAATATTGAGTCATCCCAAAAAATCTTCCAGAGACTTATGGAAAAGCCTGGCCTGGAGGGAGCTAGAGAAACTCTAGAAAAGGAGAAAGATGGGCTGTCTGTGGAGAACTCTGTTGCTGAGCATGATTTAGATACAACAATAAATCGTAACCACACTGAGCAGCCTGGATCCAACAATAATGCCAAGTTGAACCTTTCAGCCAGCAACTCTGTGCAGGACACAGGAAGCAGGAGGAGAGTTACCTCTGTACAAAGTAGTGATCTGTTACAGGATGGGGAGGTTTTAGAACCCCAGATAAAGCCTGTAGGTGACTGTAAGACTTCCAGAAAGGCAAACCAGCCTCATTTTGCATTGGTGACAGTAGGTGAGACAGAGAAGGAAGACAGTGAAGAAGGCACAGTATCTTCAGATTGCCCATTGGAAGGAAAGGATCATGCAGATGAGTGTGTGGGTGAAGCAGAGGGAGAAAACCTCAAGGAATCCAAGAAGAGGAAGTTGGAGATGAGCAAATTAAGTGGAGAAAGCTCTGGAGTATCAAAAAGCCCCAGTGATATTGAGAGGATCTCCCATAATCTTGGTGAGGTAGTCATTACAAAGGAGGAAGTTAGCACCTTGGCCCCCAAAGGAGGGAATGCAGACTCCAGAGTTGGGAAGGAGGCCGGATCCCTTGATGCGGTGATAAAAAGACGGAAAGTAGACATGGCACCCAAAGGTGGTTCTTCAAAAGTGGATGATGAGGTGATCCTATCTAAGAGCCAAGGAATAAGTTCCATTACTCATGATGTTAAGAAGACAGATCCTGTCTGCCAAGAAGAAACCAAAACAGCAGTCAATGCTTCTGTAGACACTCTGACAGGACCCAGGGCTGGAGGTGTGGATATATTGGCTGATTCCAAAAAGAATGACCTCCCTGTGGATGGCTGTCTGCTGGAGAACGTTAAAGAGCAAGAAGCTCCCACTCTAACAGAAAGTGAGGCACCTTGGTTGTCTGAAACCTTCATAGCTCACAAAAGGGGAGTAAGGAACAATGCAGGATGGAAAGAGCAGGACACTGAAGAAACATTTGATGGTTCTACAGGAAGGAATAACATCCCCAAAATAAAGGAGCATGAAAACACCATGGGTGGACCAGAAAAAGAGTAGTTCTGTCCCAGGTAGGATGAAATAGTCCCAGGTGTCCTAAAGGTCAGAATGGGGTGTATATTTTCAGAAGCAGTTCAGAATAACCCCTGTGCTTTGTTTGTTTGCAGGGTTTGGTTTCCCCAGATTTTTATAAGCACTGGACATAGTCAAGACCTACAGGCAAAGGCTTTCAGAAAAAAGGTTGCCACGCTTAGGTGATGACTTGCACATCTGATATTCCCACTTCTAGAAGGCTTTTATCTTCTAATTGATTGCCAGAGGGCTCTGTTCCTTTTTTAAGAGAAAGCACTGAACCATTAAATACAATTTATGCTACCTTTCAGATGTGTTTTTCCGAGTGTTTACTAGATGAGCCAGAAGAATGTATTTACTAAATTAAGTCTGTCTTTGTTAAATAAAGGACTTAACTTTTGAATGTGACGTTTCTGGTTTCTTGTCAAGGGAGAAGAAGAAATGAATTAAACGGTCTTCCATAGTTTTGGGTGTCACCACTGTGGAACAGGGACCAGAACAGCGAGGAGCAAAAATTACATGCCTGCGCCTAACTATTCCCAGTTGCACCTGGTGACTGGGGGCACAGGCTCTGAAAATAGAAGCAAGAAGCTTTATTGACTGCAGTTGAACTTAACCTGCTTCTTAGGTTTGGCTCCCAATATATTGATGACCTCCTCTCAATCTTTATTGGAGTTCCTCTGAGAGATTGTGGGGAGGCAGGGAAAGAAATGGAGGAAGCATAATCAAGAGATGGAAGTCCAATCCATTGGCATCTTATCTCATAAATAGCAACTTAGCCCAGGTGGAGAGAAATCTGGGAAGAAGCGATTCAAATCACTCAGAGATTTTGTCTTGATTTAAGTCACTGTAAACAAGAACGGGAAATTGTTCTAAAGTTTCCAAGATTCTGTATTTACCACCACCTCTCAAAGACTAGCATTACTAAAATATCCACAGTTTAATTCTTGCTTCCTTGATCTAGCCCAGCTGAGTTAGGCTTGACAGTTACCTTTTGAAGGTTAGGCTTTATCTGTTTAGTTTCTCTTCAGGGACAATCTTGCCTCCTGGTTTAGAGAGTACCAGAGCCAATATTAAGCAAAGAGGGATATGGGCCACCAGCTGGATTAAGAATGGTTCCAGGTTACTCTGAGTTGGATAGAATCTGAAGCCAGCAGATGATTCATTTTACCTATCAATGCCCAGTTAGAGCAGCCGCTTGATGTTGGAAAGCGCAATGCGCTGAGTTCAGCAGCTCTAGCAGGGAAATACTGGAAAAATCCATACCGAATGAGAGGTGGTCGTCACTTTGGTGAGGTTGAATCGACAGAACATGTCTTCCTAAGCGGTGTGTCACGTGTCCACTCAGCACCTCCACCATTGGGATTAAACTCAAGGCATCGTTTCCTTGTGGGCTGCCTATCCCCTGTGGTGCTCACGTAGAAATAGATGGGATTGCTTTAAATCTTTGTTGAAGATCAATGTCCTGCGCAACGCACACTTCTTTGAAACTACTGGCGAATAATATCGAAGGACTTGCTTTTAAGATCTTATTCTTTACACAGGGTGATATTTTTGTTCCTTTCTTGCTCTTAAAAAACATGCGCTAGATGCACACTGGGACAATTCCTCTAGTTAAGGAGGACTGAGTCAATTGGGAGCAAGTCAAAGGGGTACTTATATATCCAACAGATGCCCACAATTGCCTATCCAGAATACATTGTCCCAACAATGTATGGTCATAAGTCAAACTGCTAAGACATACCAGCTGCTGCAACAGCGTACATAAACACATGAAGCTAATAATGTTTATGATTAACCTGGGATGTACAAAGGAAAAATGAACTTCTCTTTTTAGAAGAACAGGACGCATCGACCCAAGCACCAGGAAGTTTTACTTCCCACCTAGGTTGCTGTCAGCACCTTAGGAGAAACCCATAAGCCTAGGCATTTTCTAAAAGTGCAAGTTAGCATAAAAGATTTCCAGAAAATAATATGAAGTGAGAAAATTACATTTAGCTAGAGAAAATGTAAGGTAATATGCCACGGGATAGAAACGAGGAGCCAAATTTCATCAAAGCCTGAGTGGAGTAGAGAAGGCAGTTGGAAGAAATGACATTACATTTGGCACCACAGTGCAGCCTGAATGGGCTCATGCTCGGAGCCTTTCCCCCAAGGACATAAAGGCATTGATCACAAGGCCTGTGAACATTAACTGGTAGTCCTGCGGGTTGCCAACCACAATGTCAAATCGGTTATAAAAAACAGACCCTGTGCCAAAACAAGGTTACAATTTTATATGGAACCAAGACATTCCTGCAGGCTGCTTATCTATCTATCTATCTATCTATCTATCTATCTATCTATCTATCTATCTATCTATCTATCTATCTATCTATCTATCTATCTATCTATCTATCTATCTATCTATCTAT